ATATATAATGTATGTATATATATATATGTAATGTATGTATATATATATATATATAATATATGTATATGTGATGTCAGCTGTTATTTGTTGTTGAAGGAAGTTTTGCAACAAATGTTTTTTTTCCTTCACATTCAGACTCTCCTAGATTTTTCCTTTGTGCTCACTTTAGTTTTGTTCTTGTCCACAGCTTCATGTTGGAGCAGCACAATGTTTTTCACACCAGAGCATTTATTTATTATTTGTTTGTTTAACACGGCACCAACGAGTATCTGAGGATGAAGATCCACATAAACATAACTTTGCTTCGACATTTGTTCACCAAAAGCCTTTGATCTTTTATTAACTGTTTCCTCTGTTATTGTTCAGGACTGTTAAAAAAACACGCAGTGTGCTTTTCCACCTTCGTAGTGGGCTTTAACAGAACAAATTTAGAACCAGTGGTTCTAAATTGGGATCTGGTCTCTGAGAGCAGCAGCTGTCTAATGGGCAGACTCTCAGCTCAATGAACTGACCCGTGACACACGAGGTCACCTTTAATGACTTTATACAAGAGATTATTCAAGTCTCCTAAACTGAATGTGTCTTTAAAGGAATATTACATCAGAAAAACTTTGAAGGTGGATTATTCATTAGTGTTTCATTTTTTAATCACTTTGAGCACATTCTGGTTTATACTTTTCCAGAAGTGGTTTGGGGTCATGGACTAATAGTGACTAATAGTTTTATAGGGTCAGTGTTCAGCTCTTGACTTCCTGCAGAGATAACAGAGAACAAGAAGCACATGTGAACAGCTGCTATGTAGAAAGGAAAAACCTCCAGTGAAGATGTGAAAAATTATTGAAGAAAATTGTTCCTGAATCTGTAATCGGCACCAGAGTAAAACACTTCTACTTGATTTGTTACTTGGTGTAGACGTAACACAAAGTGCAAACAACGGTTGGTTATAGATTTCTGCTAAAATTGAGTCAAACATCACAATCACCTTTTAGTTTAATTTTAAACCTAAAACAGAACAAAACCATTGTGTCTTTCTCGGTATAATCCAGTCAGGATAAAAGGCTCTTATTACAGACTGTGTTCATTTCATTAGATCTGTGTGGCAAAATGATGAAATGATGTGAAATCCAGCTGCTGTTCTCGTCTCTTACTCAGCTTTTTTTTTTCAAAAGAAATGATGTAGAGCTGCATCTTTGAGTCGTGTTTTGTTCACAAACTGCCCAAAATAAACATGAAATCTCTTTTTTAATTTTTTTTTCTCCTGTAAAGTCTTGATAGTTACGTGTTATCAGCAGTTTTTCTTGATATGTTTGCTTTAAATTGTATTTCTGTCTTCAGGCTACCCCCCTCTCCCGAGCAGCCTGTACTCCAGTCCGTACCTGTCCCTGGGACACATGGAGCCGTCCTCCCTGCCCCAGCACCCCCTCTACGACCCTCATAAAGGTCTGTTTGTCACTAATAAACGTTTAGAGAAACTGGTGACTGAGTTTATTTTTGTCACACATTCTGTTGAGACGTATTACTGGAGTCTGGTGTGGAGAAAACGCTGCTGGACCAGTGAACTGACTTTAATTTTTCTCCCAGTAATGACCATTATTCAGGATTATTTAGGTTGTCGATCTTCTGTAGGTCTGTTTGTGCACTTTTTCTGCAGATAAAATGTAAATATCTTGTTTATCTTTGCCTGTTCTGCAGTGTCCCATAAATGTGTCTTTAATCTGTGTAACAGTCCGTGTTTACATTCTTTGTTTGTGTTTTTGTTTGTTTTAGACGGATACTTCCTGCCATCCTCCTTGAGACAGTCACCTCTCCACCCCCCGTCTGCCTCATCGACCACCCCATCTGGCTCCATACCCGCTCAACGACCGTCCCGGGATGGGGGCAGGGACAGATCTTACCGGGCAGAAAGAGAAAAGGAGCGAGAGCGGTCGCGAGAGGAGCTACGACCACACAGCGTGGTCGACCTGACGCTGGAGGGGCGGAGCGAGGAGGACCGCAGGGCGGGCAAAGACCGGGACAGAGAGAAGGACAAAGACCGAGATGCAGACAGAGACAGGGACAGTTGGTCCTTCCATCCTCACCAGCAGAAGTCCCACTCCCAGCCTTCCACAGTGGAGCCCAGGTCCAGACTGTCGCTTCCTCAGCACTCGTTTCCTCCTGGCGGGGGTGGGGGGGAGAGTAGGTTTCTTGGAACAGAAAAGGACAGAGGGGGTCGGGATGAGGAGGGCACTTCTCGAAACCACCACGACCAAAACTCTAACTCTAACAACTCTAACTCAGAACGGCAGAGGAGGAATGAGTCTGTGGCCACGTCGGGTGGGACTCTACACATCTCCTACGTCCCTCCCCCCCCTCTGCAGCCGTCCAGCGCCGGCCTTCCCCACGTCCCTGCACTCAGAGAGCAGCGAGTCAGCGCAACTACTTATGTGCCTTCTGTTGAGGTTTTCGACGAGCGGGCGGGGCCCATCCAGATCGCCTCGCAGGCCCGGGACAACAAACGCCGAGAACGAGAAAGAGAACTTGAACGAGAGAGGGAGAGCTACAGGTTTCATGAGAAAAGCCTCACGGAGCATCCTCGCCTCCCTCTGTCCGGCGACATGAGCAATCAAAGAGAAGAAGGGTCTGTTATCTGTTCCAACGGTTCCTTCGGTAAACGAGGTCAGGACACTTCTTTCTCCCCAAGTCAATCACGGTTCAGCCCAGAATCCAGGAATGTCTCCAAACACTCAATCAGAGTCGGCGTTGAGCAAATGGGGGCGGAGCCTAAATGGAACGCTATCAGTCCGTTGGCAAATTACGCCACAAATCACATGGCGGCCCTGGCAGCTCAACATGGACATACGCTCTCCTCCCCACACAGCCAGCAGACGCAGAAGTCAAACTCCCCTCAGACGTCCCATCGACCGAACAGCTCGCAGTCGTCCCCACAAACGCACGCCTCCCAACATGGGCATACTGGTGAGGAGGCGAGTCAGCGGCGCTACCTGGACCAGTCGGTGCTCTATCGCACCTGTGGCTCGTTGACGGGAGCTTCCGGCGGTGGAGATTGTGGAGCTGGTCCGGATTCCTCAGAGATTTCAGCCATGCAGAGTCTGATTAAATATAGTGGAAACTTCCCCGCCGACAATCCCGTTTCTTCCAGGCACATTTTGGATGGACGAGGGCCTTTTGGCGGTCTGGGTAACCTTTCGATGGATGCCGAGCGAGACAAAGAGAGGGACAGAGACAGAGAAAAGGTTGCTGTCGGATTGGGTAGTTCAGGAGCAATCAGGATGCCTCCTCAGCTTAAGAGAGAACAGGAGCGGCCCGACAGCGCCCGCTCATTTGGGCGTGAGGGGGAGGGAGAGGTGCGGTACCCTCCTGTGGGGATCGCTGTAGCTGTGGCCCGGCAGAGAGACAGCGGGAGCATTAGTAAACATACCAGCGGATCCTCAGACCCACCGAGACCACTTCTACAAACGACTATTAAAGGTACCAAAGTTTTTCTTGTGTTGCTGATTTGTTTTCTGTCTGTCTCATCAGTTCTGTTGGTTTTCTCACTAGTATTGGTCAAAATGGATCTTGTAGCTTTGTACAACTGAAATTAAATATATCTTAACACATTTAAATTAGGAATGCGCGATATAAACGGTACACAGTAGAAACAATAGAAATTTAGCCTACGATAGAGATCTGTCTTCTACCGGCTAACCACAGTAATGCTGTGTCTGATGTAAAATCAGAGCTGTCAGATTTAATCGTTACTTTTTTTGAGTTGACAACTGTGCGTAAGTGGCGTTAAAGTCTTTTCTTTGAGGGCTAAGTAGCGAAGCTACAAGCTAACTACAGCCGGCTTGCCGTAGTGTTGCCATATTCTGACACATGCGCAAAACGCTGAGTTCCGTCGAAAGTTTTTTTTTCCCGTCGAAAGTTAAAGTAAGCGTTGGTCAGCTGTAGAGAAACCTGATCTGTGATCTGTGAAAAAAAACGCTGTGTTGTGTGATTTTACTGCGAGACCCTCTGGTAAAAGCCACAGACTCATTTTGTGTCAGCTCCATTAAAGAGGAAGGAGGCGCCCACTAGAGGGTTGGAGGGTGAAGTGTTTCAGTGTAAAATGCTGCTCTGTTGCTGTTCATGTATTAAGTGAGAACACTGGAACTGTTAAGAGTTAACAACATATTCTTTGTTTAAACATATGGCTAAAACTACATTTGATATCTTGCACTGTTTTGCACTAAAAGAAAGAAGCCTAATACTTGATTTGTTTATTATTTAAAAACTCTGGACCTAGTGGTGATATTTTCTTAATTCAAAATATATGATGGCAAAAGGACACCCTATGCTTTTTAAAATTCCTATTGCAAGTTTTATACCAAAAACATATTGCGATATATATCGTTATCGCCACACTTCACAATACATATTGTGATATGAATTTTTTGCCATATCGCACATTCTTAATTTAAATACATATATTTTCTCCATCTTCTGCTTTCTGCCACCTCCTGTAGTTTCTGTCAGAATCGTACTGCAGGGAGGGCAAAGCCCCCTCGTTCAGTGAACCAGGAGAAAAAGTTTCCTCATTTTAGTTTCTATGCATGATAAAATATTCATTTTCTTTCATATCAAAGTTGTATTTCCTCCGCCGCTGTTTGACTTTGAGGTGTGAAAACGTGCAGTGTGACTTGAATTGTAAAACCATCTTTTGGTACAAGCTTGTAATTATGTCACAGATTATATTCTGATGAAAGGCTCCTTCCTGCGACTCTGCTGGCTTTCTGTGCTGCATAGCTGGTCTCACAAGACCACTCTATTCTTGGACATCAAGGTCGCTCGGCTACGGGGCTCCTGCTCAATCTTTCTGTCCTTCTCTGTGTTCGTCTCTCAGCTCTGTGTGTCATCGAGCTCCTTCTGTCCTCCTACAGTCCTCCCCCCCCTTTCATTTTGCTCTTTATTTGGATGAATGTCTCTGTGCATTCCTGCCCTTGCTTCCTTTTTTTTAAGAAAGGCTTTGTGGAGGCCCTTGTCCCACCTCAGGCCCCTTCTTTCTCCACTGTTTTTTCCACGCCTCTTCCACCCCTCTTCATTAAAATTATTAACATGTCATTACAGAATGCAGCTAAAAGCCACAAACAAACCTTGAATTACAACAAGACCAGGTTGCTTAGCATTAATATGAATGAACTTGGAGTTGTGCAGAGGAGAAGGATGATCGAACAATAAATGAGATGGACATAGATCAGCTGACTGATTGATGGGAAGAGCCAGTTTTGTCAGGAAGTGAGGAATGTGGCCAGTGAAGAGTGCAGAGCGCAGTCCTTGTAGATGCAGTGTGTAGCATGTGGGACAGACTCGGTGTAACCTTGGTAACAGAAACCTTCGCGTATCATGGATTGTCAAAGTATCCTGTCCCTTTTTTTTTAGGTCAAACACACAGAGACACGCACACACACACAGAGCAGATCTGAAAGGTTCAGCACACATGTATTAAACCCTTCTGCTGCTCAGGGACCTCCAGTCTGCTCTGATGAGATGCAGGAGAGCTGAGGGGAGAGTGTACAAGTTGGAAAGCCTCATGTTTATTCTGGATATCCCGACTGAGTGCTCCTGTCTCTCTATTGTTTTATTATTTTGTGTCTCGCTCCCCGTTATTGTCTTTAGCCTTTGGCTCTTTTAATCAGCAGGATGACTTTAGGGCTCTTGAGTGTGTGGATACAGTATTAAGGCAGCAGTGACATATTCACTGTTAATTTTTTAAGAGCTGACGGTAAGAGTTGAAACTGTCAGCCTGTTTCTGTGCGTGTGTGTGTTATTTGTGTTGAGGCTGAAGTCCAACAGTATTTTCAGCCTCGGATCTTGTTTTGACGGACTGAGTCATGTCGTCCATTGTCTAGCTGGTCTTGCCTCTCCTGCCGCTCATTTTCTTTGCTTTGTTTATAATCCATACTGCACTTCCTCTCTGCTCTCGGCTTACTCTTTTTTAATTTCAAATGTGTATTACCTATAGAATTCAGTATTTACTTTACCCCACTCTGTCACTTTTCATCGTCTGCTTTAACCAGACATTTTTACCAATTTCTGGTTCAATGCTCACTTTTGACAAATGTGCAAAATGTGTCAAGAATTATTCAAATTTAGATACATCAGGCAGCTATGCTGCAATAAAATCATTTAAAAAATTTGTTTAGATCGTTTGAAAGCAGGTTAAGTGGAATTTAGGTCATGAACAATTAATATCTTACCTGCTATAGATAATTTTAAATAACCTCAGTTTGGAGACTTTAGTTTATTTCTGATCAAGTTGACTTACTGCTAGTCTGAGTGAGTCCAAGACAAATAGATGATGAGCTGCACCCATGATTTTTGAAAATTATTACCATCTTATGGGACTAAATCTACCCGTAATTCTTTGAAAGTATACATGTATGGATCTCAGAAATGACAGGTGGACATGCAGCCAGAGTAGCGTTCTATAAAAATTGCTACAATTTTGTGTCAGACCCATGGTAAAAATGTTAATTTTATCAAAATTGCAAAGTGCTGGCTCATTTTTGTAATATGAGCATTTCTGTTTCCTGCAATACTGTAACTAGATAAATCAAATGGTACAAATTAAATGGGCTACCAGTGAATAAGTTGTTTAAGATATACATGTAAATGTTTGTGTTACAATAAATCCACCGAAATGAGGCTCGTTTTGAAATGCTAAGTTCATACATTCTTTCCTAGCTTCAGTAGTTCTTAATTGTATAAGCACTTGTATATTAAAATAATCCCTATTATGTAAACATTGTTCTAAGAAAAGTTCTAGATCCATTTCTTTCATTGGTATTAAATGTGAAAATATGTTACCTCTAACCCCATAATTTTAAATAGCCGTTTTTGTGTTTTGTATTTAGTTTTAATACCCACAATTTTCTTTTATGTAATAAATAGTACAGGCTATAAAAATGAAATAACACTGAATAAAGGTATATAATATACCAGAAATATTTTATTCATGTCAAACTAAGAGTATAATGAAATTGAGTTCTAACATGGCTCGCCACAAAACAATGCACCGTACACCCTAGTATACCCTTTAGGAGTAACTTGGACACATGATCCAATTGTGTACAGTTAACAGGTTAGAACGCCGTAATCCTTTACTACACTTTCACCAGTTACAGAACATACACACATTTGCTCTAAGTATCACTATCAGAATCTGAGTCAGAGTCTCTGTAATGGGGGTCTTCTGCAGCAGAGTTTGGACAAACTGTGAGCCGACAGGCCTCTGTGCGTTTCAGTCCATTTGCGTTACGCTGAGAGGAGAGGGTCTTGCATTCCTTTGTACATTTGCAGAACAGAAGATCCAGCACAATTTCAGGGGCCAGAGGACCTCTCATCCATTCATCTCTCTGACTGTCATTCTCCACTGTCCATCCATGGTCATCTGGGCTTAGAATATCTGGTTCCCTTTTCAGTCACAAAAGAGATGAACATTAGATGTGTAGCAAATGCATTGAATAAACAAAGTGCACTATGAAAATGTGACAAATATTGATGAACCTACTTATCAGACACCACCTCTAGATGCCTGCCTGGTAATTAACCCTTCTGGCATGAAGGTACAGAATGTCTTCATAGGGTGGAAGTTGGCCAGATTCAACATCTCCCCTCGTTGCTCTGAACAGCTGGTATCAGACATCATTGACTTGGGATACATTTGACTTTTGGTGCATATAGTCTGCATGTGTATTCCTGCAGGACTGCAAATAGCTCTAGAGATTGTTCCCATTCCTGTCCTGATTTTGCAAGTCCATTTGCCAGATACATATCTTCCAGTAGTTTGATACCATCAAGCTTTCCTCTGCCAGCACTAACTGAGTCACAGCCAGTAAAGGCATGAACTCCCCAAAGGGCTGTGCATTTTTCTGCTACTAGAGTTCTGGCAATATGACTGACATCCACATATCTGATCCTTGTTTGTGCCCCACATTTGATGTACCGGTAGGTGTTTAGTACATCAACATTGAAAGCGAGTGCCAACCCAGAAACATCTTTATCTTCAGAGATTATAATCACTGATTTGCTTCTTGGAGTGACATGCTTTATATGCAGCAATAGCTTTGTCTGCTTCCTCGTGGTTCGACCATAGTTCCTCCAGTGAGGTACAGTCATCTTTGCAAATATTGAAGCATGTCTTCTCTTTGCTGACAATGAGCTCTGTACATGTACCCTGAAGCTTCTGTCGAAACTGGTTTCTTCCATTCTTCTACCACAAATCTTATCATAGCTGCTTTGCTGCAAGAGCACTGCAGTTTCTTCTTCCACTGTCTAATCTTTTGTCCAGCTGTGATGAACATACGCAGAGTGCCGTCATTGAGCCCTCTTCTTTCTCTTTTTACATTCTTAATGACTTCTATGTAGTCATCAAATACCATATCAGAGCAGCAGCAATCTAATCCTGTTCAGATCACAGCTGAAAATGGTAAATCTGCAGTCACCAAAAGTCTTAAGATCAGTGTTCATTCTATGAGCAAGACTCATCCCACCAACGACTGTCGGTCAAGGTATAACCTCAGCTGTTGGTGACTGCTGTTCAGGGAATCTTGCCAGTGATTATTTACTTTTCTTTTCAAAGTTACATCACAGTTAGCCAACGCTTATGATATGGGTCCCAGAGGATGCTGTAAAACCTCATTCTTATCCAAATTTCTGTAACCATCAATGAGCACCATGTGTCCAAATAGCTTATGGTCAGCTTTGAGAAGTATTTGAGTGTAAGCTGTTTCTTCAATAGCTTGGTCAATTGGGAGTTTCCCAAATGGGTTTGAACTTCCAGTCTAAGCTGTGAATCCACCAGTACTGAAGAAAACCACCTTAAAATTATTAATGAGGAAAAGCATGTAGTCATCTTATAAAGTATCAAAATGTTTTTGAGTGTCTAAAATGATACAAGTACTTGGGAGAGATGACAAAGTAGCATTACATTTTTTTCTACAATTAATTATTTGGGGGGGGAGGAGTCATATTTTCCCATCAAAAGGGTGAACTGTGTTCCACAGAAGCAAGTGCTATGGCCTAGATAATGCAAAAGACGTGTGGATTTCTTTCAGTGTATGTGGCAACAAGAGTCGGATCTTGGCACCTGATAAACAAAACATACCCATACATTTTCAAATCAGACCCCTTATTTTATTGTTTTCTTTAGATTTCTGATTATATCCATAATATTTACTATTAAGCTTATAATTCAACATTGTCACGCTAAACTGAGGAGGAGTGGTGGCGCAGAGGTCAGAGGAGGTGGGCCTGTGATCGGAAGTTTGCTGGTTCAACTCCCTGGGCCAACAACACTGAAATGTGGGTAGGACAGGTGAAGCACCCACACCTGCCTCCACTCTCATTTGCCCCACTCTGGGCCCTTGAGCAAGGCTCTTTACCCCCACCATCTGCTCCCTGGGTGCCCTAGATAGCAGCTGTTTGCTCCACACAGAGAGCTGTGGTTGTGTCAAGAAGGGCATCTGGCATAAAAACAGTTGCCAAGTCTTCGTGCATGTTAGTTCACTGTGGTGGCCCCTGAAGAAGGGAGCAGCCAAAATTAGGAGACTCCATTTAGATGGTCATCCAATGTAGCTGATGGTATTTTGTCATCCTGTGAGATTTCAACTTTTTTCCAAAGAAGGGCCAAACACACATTCACTATGTTTACATGGACATAAATAATCAGATTAAACGGCCATTCGGAATAAAAATGTATCATGTAAACGCCCTGTTCAGATTATTTTTTGTTTTTTCAGCGCAATCCGAAATAATTTGTGATCATAACAAAACATGTGGTTTACTCCGATTCATAACCCAAACAGTGTCCATGTAAACGCTTAATCTGTTGATTTTTTTTTTCCGATCGTGAAAAACTGACCTGACTGCGCATGTGCGACCCATGTCATTTCCGCCTGGCTAATGCTAATAATATTAGCATGTCGGGGAAGCAAAACTGGTCTATGAGCGACACAACATTTCTACCAGAAACTTTGAAAGAGCTCAAAATGATCTGTATCACCTGTAGCTCAGTCAGGGAGTGCAGCAATGTCTCCACCGTCATTAAAACCTGTTGCGGGTCCATTGTGGGTGCTCAGGTTTGTTTACGTTCATCCCAGAAGTAAACCGGAAGTATAACTTCTTCTTCAGTGTTTTTTTTTAAGGAGAGTTTACCACTCTGCACATGTCAGTACTGCTGTTCAGAACAAAGCCCGCTGTATGTAAATGCTCGTCGTGAACAGATTGTGCCCATGTAAACGATACATTTGAATTATTTAATCTGAAAACATTTCAATCCAGTCAAAGAATTTTGCGCATTTAAACATAGCTGTTGTCAAAATTGTCATATAAAGCTACTCTTGCTGCCAGTCCACCTGGCATTTTTGACATCCTCAGATGAGCCTCTTTCAAGAAAACACGAGCATAATTAGTCCCAAATTTAGTCGTGAAACTCCGGCTCATCGACTATGAAGGAGATTACTGATGTTTTCAAACAACTCTAATCTTTAAAATGCTGCAGTGGTTCATGCAAACAATGCTGCAATTTTTGAATTACAGGTTTTTACAGAGTTCTCTATACTATGGTTATAAATTTATATGATTATTTATTTATTAGATCTTTGGTTCTTGGGACTTTTATCATCTGATCCACAAAATGACAGTAGCAGAAACTCCATCTCTGGTTATTGTATTGCAGTTAGACCAATTAAACTAAGACATAAAGTTAAAAAGCACCAGTATTGTAACGTCTGTTTTATTGTTTTCCTTGCTTGACAGTGTGAAGGAAATTTGTCATTTCTGTGCATACGAAGCTTCTGAAGAACAGTTTCTGCTGATGTCTGCGTTGTGAGTTCAGCAGACAGCTGCAGCTTCCGGGTCAGCTCTAAGAGCTTTCCTGTACTTTTCCATGAGATACACATGAGACCTATGACGTGTAATCAGTGTTTATAAATGCAGAGGTTTCTGAGACTTCCTTAACTCACTCGGGGACTGACTCTTTCATGTCGGTATTTTGAATGAGTTCCTTTGCAAAGAAAAAATAAACTTAAAGACAAAGATTGTTTTCTCACCTCCTTATTTAACCGATTAGTATAATTTCTACCACAACAGTTATGCAAATAAATAAATAAGGAATTGAATGTTGATGTTTTTTTGGTTTGTTTGTTACTGGAAATAATCTCAAGACGCCAAACTTGATGTTTTGCGACCCATAGCGTGGTCCCGACCCTTATCTTACAACCACTTCGTTAATTCCTAGTGTATAAACAGACAGTAATAAATTAGAATTATTATTTGCTTCAGAACCTTCTGCAGCTTTTTGATTAAATACATAAACTGCAGGAAAATTTCATGAAAGATGTTTTTAATGTTACTAGAAAGCTAAAAGACAAAAACATTCAAACAAAATGTTGTTTTGGTAGATTAAGTTGTATGTTTTGGTCAAAAGCCTCAGTGTTTCAGTAGCTGATGTGAATCAAACATGGCTCCACAGGAGTTTAAATCATTTTGTTGAAAAAAACTGCCTATTATAGTTATTGACGCATCCTTTCATCTTGCTCTAGGATAAAATATTGAACATCGTAGTTTCCCAGCACTCGCACTATAATATTGCCCTTTTTAGGCGAAAAATGATGCCATTAAACCCCTCATCATCCTTAATGATGAAGCTACTAAACAGCCATATCTGACTTTTCTCTCTGCCTGAACCGGTCTCAGATGAGGAGCGAGGGGAGGAGCGCGCTCGCCACCGTGATGACAGACTGCTGGCTGCTCGGCTGGATCGTGAGCAGGAGAAAGTCATCAGGTGAGGATTTTCCTAACAACATGATCATCATTCTTACCTCAAACATGATGTAAATGACCAAGAACAAAAGCTGTGGCCCCAGTAACCACACTTCTTATTTGATATTTATGCGTTTAACAGTAAGATTTAATTAACTGATGTTTTGTGTTTTGTCAGAGAGTCTAAGAATCTACCTGAGTTTACTCAGATGCATCCCACCCCTCTGTCTGGAGGCTTGACACCCAGTATGATGACGTCCAGCCTCATGACCCCCAACCTTATGGTCACAGGAGGGGCTGCTCTAGCGGGGGCGGGGCGATGGCCACCTGAACCCTCAACTCTGACCTCTCACCCCTGGATGCCCCGGCCCGGAGCCCCATCAGTCTGGCTGTCCAGCTCTACATACGGTATAACAACAGACATGTTATTTGAAGTTATTTGTTAACTGTTGTTTTAGTCAGACATAAATCAAATGGGACAGTTTTTATAATTCTTCTACAGACTATTTGCTGTGGACGTCATCTAGAAGCTCCTCAATCTTCCTGCTTTGCCTTAAGAGTCCAAAACATGTTAGCTAAATTTTGCATATACACTTGGGGAAGTTTCTGATTGGGCAGTAAAAGGGAGGTGTTGTCTCTGTGTTGGACGGTTTATCTAGCAACAGACTCCTGGGGTCAAGTGTCACAGACATTCCTGATCTGTGCAGGACATTCCAGACCTGCCTCTCTTATGGTCGCTGCTCAGAAATAACAGCAGCAAGACGCACACAATCACATCCTGTTGTAAGCTCACACATAATATAACCTGACAACACATGAAGAATAGGACACGCATATAAAACTCCCCAAGGACATCTCTGTCTAGACACTGATGGGGGGAAACATACATAAAAGCAATATTTGACTTATTTATGCAGTCAATATGGTGACTGGACGAAGATTAGTTGAGCTGAAAATATATTTTCTGTCTCTTTCATTCAGGCCTGGGACCCTCCTCGCTCCACCAGCCCCTCCCCCATGGCTACCCACCCTCTCTGTCAGGCTCCATACCGCCTCCCTACCAGTTTGCCCGAGACCCTCAGACTGGGCAACTTATTGTCATACCTACTGAACACCTGCCACATTATGGTATGAATGCAATGCTTATCCCCAAGACCATTAACAATATAAGCAAATATGTCAACAAACTCTTAAGGATTAAAATTAGGTTTAAAATGACTAAGATTTACCTTTCCTCCTGTTGGGCTGCAGGAGGTGACATCCTGGAGCGTGGAGCTCCGGTGTGGTCAGGTGTTTACGGTACGGGCAGCTCTCTGCAGCACGCCGCCCAGCTGCAGCTCATCTCCCAGCACCAAATGATCCGACAGCAGGAGCTGTTCATGATCCAGCAGCACACAGCTCAGGTCCTGGAGTTTCAGAGGAATGCACAGATGGTCGTAAGTGAAGACCTGCGTGCACCTGTACAGGGCTGTGCAACAAGCGTTCACAGAAACCTGAGAGAAGCACACATGATGTTACCAGTGTCAGACGGTGTTATCGTCTGTGTTTTTCATAGATACAGCAAAAAAAAAAAAAGGGAACAAACGGTGTCTTTGTGGCAAGCTAATAACTAAGTTACCAGCTAGCAAATCAGTAGCTTAGTAACTTGAAGCCTCCATTTAAAGGATGCTTAAATTATGCACAGAAGACAAATATTTATCCTGTCCCGTTCTAAACAGACAGAAACGTTCTCTCTGGTGTGTTTCAGGAGCGTTTTAAAGCCAGCGAGCACCGGCCGGAGATCGAAGACAAAGCAGACAAGAGAAACACCGACCCTAAAACCCGTACCTCTTCGATTTCTTCCCCCTTGCCTTCACCAGTCCTCCATCCTCGCAAACACCCCCCTCCCTCTCGATCACCTACGCCATCCACATCCTCCCTCACCCCGTTGCCTCCCATCCCTTCTTCGTTGCCCCACCTCAAGTTAGAGGAAGGAAAGCAGAGGGGTCTTTCTCACCTGCCGAAGCCGCTGATTCATCCATCTTCTCCCCGCTCAGCCTCTCCACCTCCATCTTCTCCACGACGGCCGAAACAGGAGGTGGCAGAGGATGGGGAGGAGGGATGGAGGGAGGGGCAGAAGCCAGCCCCTCCACCCTTTCAGGGCATCTATGCTGGTTAGTTGCTCATCATCTTGTAAAAGAAAACCTGTAGATTGAGTGAAAAATGCCAAACTGTATTAATACGATGTGATGTTCAGTGAGTTGTTGATAACGCCCTGCTGTGTTTAACGTATGTGTTTGTGTCAGATCTTCCTCCAGGATACCCGTACCAATCCATCACGGCCCCGTACGGCTCACCTTTCCGCCCTTATCACGTCTCGGCATCTACAGCCGAAAACACAGATCGCTCCTGCTCTCCTGCTTTAGCTGCTTCTTTACCCTCAGCTTACTGCCACTCCAGGTTGTTGGATGCCGATATCAAGCCACAGAAACTAGAACCATCAAAGACTGGAACTTTTCTTAAACAAGAACCTGGCGAGGAGCAGCATTGTCCTGATGTAACACCAGAGCATCTCAGTGTGCTCCATCAGAGCTTCAGCCCTGATCAAGCCAGTCGGTATATTGACGTAGAAAGGCAAACCCCTAAAGCTCTGCCACTACTTCTGCATGACCCCAGTCCTCCAGCACTGCAAGACAAAGGGCTACAAGTCAGGGAGGAAGAGAAGGAAGAAGAAGATCCGATTAAAATGGAGGCGTCATCTCGCTCGTGTCATGCAGCCAACGACGTGTCTCCTGCATGTGCCGAGGCTGCGCCTAAACCAGAGGTCATCAAAGACTCGGACCAGACGCCGTATCAATCATCCATCACTGCAGAACCGGACGTTCAGGAGCCATCTCAGATGTGTGTGTCATTAGAGCAGACCACCAGCACTGTGTGTGAACAGGAGCAGCCTGACGCTTCCTGCCTGACAGAAAGTACCTGTGAACTTCCTGCTCTCAGCCCTCCCCTCCCACTCGTCTTCGGCCCAGACGATCCCATGGGGGGCATGTTTGCCCTGATAACGGCTAGCGAGATCGCCCAGGCTCGGGCCAGCTCTCCACCACCCCCAACGCTTGTGTTGCAGGTTGAAAATCCACCGGTGGGTTCAGACCTGAGCTGTGCGGGGGCTCTGGAGATGGTGGCTCTGGAAGGAATGGCCCTGCTCAGCCAAATGGGCCAACACGAAGCTGAGCCCCACATCCAGGATGAAGGCAAGCATTGACTCGTTACTGCTGTTCTCTCTAATGTTCCTCAGGTTTTTCTGACACTGTGCATTTCATTCAGATCTGGCGTTGGAGGGCTTAGTGTGTCTTCTTGAAGCAAGCAGACAGATTCTGTTGGACGCCATAGAGCAGCAGTCCCACATCGACCTGCCAAGAGCTCTGGACCCCAACAAGAAGTACAGTTGGAGGCAGAGGAAGGAAGAACCAGTAAGATAAAGAAGAATCTCTCTCAGATGATGAAACGAGTCCAAATCTTTTCACAGAATTTGATGTTTTTTCTTTTATCTTTTTTTTTTTGTACGTGCGTCTGAGCAGTTGTACTGTAAAATGTCAGTGGACATGTTGGACGCTGTGGAAGTGGAATATCGTGTCCACCTGGCTGAGCTTCAGAAGACGTACAAGGAGAAACAAAGAGAGCTGAGCAAACTGCAGAGACGCAGGGACAAGCGGTTAGTGACACTTTCGTCTCGCAGGATGACATCATCTCAAGAAGAGCTGGATGTCCAGCTCTGTCCAACACACACCAGTAACTCTGCTGTGGTTCGTGTCAGTGAGCGGCAGCAGCTGGAGGACGAGAGGAGGAGTCTGACCAGACGTGGTCGAGGAAGACCCAGGAAGAGGAAGCACCTGGTCTCACCTCCCAAACTGGACAGCCGGCCTGGGAAGTGAGTGTGACAATCAGTTTAATTTATTTCCTACTTTTTGTGTTGTTGTTCTGCAAGTGTAAATAAGTTGTTTTCTCAGGGCGGGTAGGACGGTTTTATATTCAGAAGACTCTGAAGCCGGGGAAGGACAGAGGAAGAGGTTCCGTGGGTCAAGAGACGAAGAGGAGATGGAGACGGGAAGTGCGGGGCTGAAGGCGAAGAAGAAGAAAAAGAAGAAGATCATCTGGAACGAGCAGGAGCCGTCCAGCAGTCACTCTCTGGAGGTAAACCACGAGTTTGCACCACGTTTGGACGTCAGCAGCGCCGTCGTTTCCTCTCTTAGTCATGTTTCTGCTGGCGTTTGTAGGTGCTGAAGGCGAAGCGCGGCCTCGTGTGCGAGCAGGAGCAGCTGGCCTCGGACCTCGACAGAGCACTTTCGCTCTCACAACTCGGCTCTCTTGGTGGTTCTCGCAAACTTCTGTCCAGCGCAAAGTTAGAAAAGTCGAAGAGTAAACCTGCTGACGGTGGACTTCAGGAGCAAGGCATCCACTCCTCGATTAAAGGAGGGAAACTCCAACTGGGTGCCAAAACGTCCGCTTCAGCGTCCGTTCAGAAGGTGAAAGGTCAAAAGAAGACGGCCATGTTCTCGCCCATGAGATCTGAGCTCAGCAGCTGCTCCAATAGTAAGTGCCAAAAGAGCAAAGATTTATACTGATGTGTTTGATTAAAGTTGAATGGAGTACCAAAAATATTTTCTGATGATAAAACTCAAGTTACCGACAGCAGAAAAACGAGTAAACGTGGATGTTTAAGGTATTTTACTGAGATGTATTTCTTAAAACAGATATTCAGCAGAAGCTTTGTATGATAAAATGTTCATATACTGTAATTTTGCTAAAGATGCACCAGTCCGTTTTGTAGGTCTTTCTAATATTTGTAACTGACCTGCTGATACTAGCCTTTCTTTCAATTATTATTAAAAGCATACAGTATTGTCCAATCTCTGACTGAACTTAGAATTTAATGTTTTTATTATAGAGAGATTTATGTCAGATCTGATTTAAAATGAT